TTCTAGGTGTTACCTAGTGCCACTGACCACTTGTTCAGTGTTTACACTTGCCACAAACCACTTGTTCTAGGTGTTTCACTATACCACTGCCCATTTTGTTCGGGTGTTACACAGTACCACTGACCATTGTTCTGGGTTTTACAATAGCCACTAACCCCCTTTTTTCTAGGTGTTACACTAGTCCCCACTGACCACTTTTCTGGGGTGTTACACTAGTACCATGCCACTTTTTCTAGGTGTTACACTTGGCCCACTGACCACTTGTTCTAGGTGTTACACTAGTGCCACTGACCACTTGTTCTAGGTGTTACACTAGTGCCACTGACCACTTGTTCTAGGTGTTACACTAGTGCCACTGACCACTTGTTCTAGGTGTTACACTAGTACCACTGACCACTTGTTCAGGTGTTACACTAGCCCTGCCCACTTGTTCAGGTGTTACCCCTTTCCCACGACCCTTTTCGGGTGTTACACTAGACATGACCACTTTTTCTAGGGTTACACTAGTGCCACTGCCCACTTTGTTCTAGGGTTACACTAGTGCCACCACCCTTTGTTCTAGGTGTTACACTAGTACCATGACCACTTGTTCTAGTTCACACTATACCATGACCATTGTTCTAGGTGTTCACAAAGTACCACCGACCACTTGTTCTAGGTGTTACACGTGCCACTGACCATTTGTTCTAGTGTTACACTATCCCACTGACCACTTGTTTAGGTGTTAACAGTACCACTGATACCACTTGTTTAGGTGTTACACTATACCACGACCACTTGTTCTGGTTTTTACACATACCACTGCCACTTGTTTAGGTTTTACACAGTGCCATGACACCACTTGTTCTAGGTTTACACTAGGCCACTGACCACTTTTTTCTAGGTGTTACACGTCCCACTGTTTCCCCCATTTGTTCTAGGTGTTACACAAATGCCACTGACCATTGTTCTAGGTGTTACCTAGTACCATGACCACTTGTTTCTGGGAAACCATACCACGCCCCTTTGTTCTAGGTGTTACACTAGTCCCCGACCACTTTTCAGGGTTCACTAGTATCAAGCCCACTTGTTTAGGTTTACACTAGTGCCACCCACTTGTTCTAGGGTTACACAGTGCCACGCCCACTTTTAGGGTTCACTAGTGCCACTGACCCTTGTTCTAGGTTTAATTTAAACCACTGCCACTTGTTCTAGGTGTTACCCTAGTAAGGCCACTTTTTTTTCTGGGTGTTCCCTAGTACCCTGCCCAAATTTTTCTAGGTTTACATTTAAAACCACTGACCCTTTTTTTAGTTTTACACTATACCACTGACCACTTTTTCTAGGTGTTACACTAGTGCCACGACACCATTTTTAGGTGTTACACAGTGCCAGCCCACTTTTTTCTAGGTGTTACAAGTACCACGACCATTGTTCTGGTGTTCCTTTTAAACCCTGACCACTTGTTCTGGGTGTTACCTAGTACCACTGACCACTTGTTCTAGGTTTTTAACATAGTACCACTGACCATTGTTCTAGGTGTTAACATACCACTGACCACTTTTCTAGGTGTTAACAGATCAATGACCACTTGTTCTGGGTGTTACACTATGCCACTGACCATTTTTCGGGTGTACAAAAATGCCACTGACCACTTTTCTAGGTGTTACACTAGTCCACTGACCACTTGTTCTAGTGTTCCTAGTACCACTGACCACTTGTTCTAGGTGTTACACAGTCCCATGACCACTTTGTTCTAGTGTTCAACTAGTCCACGACCCTTTTCTGGGTGTTCACTATACCACTGACCACTTGTTCTAGGTTTTAACTAGTACCACGACCCTTGTTCTGGGTGTTACACTATCCCACTGCCCACTTTTTCTGGGGTGTTACACTAGTCCATCCCATTTGTTAGTGTTAACTATCCCTGACCACTTGTTCTGTGTTACACTAGTGCCACTGACCACTTGTTGTAATGTTACACTAGTACCACTAAACCACTTTTCTAGGGTTTACACTAGTACCACTGACCACTTGTTCTGGGTGTTACATATACCACTGACCACTGTTCTAGGTGTTCAATCCCCACTGCCCACTTGTTCGGGTTTTACACAGTACCACGACCACTTTTTTAAGTGGACACAGCCCACGACCATTTTCTGGGTGTTAAAAATAGTACCACTGACCAATTGTTCTGGGTGTTCCCTAGTACCACTGATTATTGTTCTAGGTGTTACACTAGCCACTGGACTTGTTCTAGGTGCACACTAGTCCACTGCCACTTTTTTCTGGGTTTTTCCAGTACCATGACCACTTGTCTGGTTTTTACCTATTCCCACAAACCCGTTCTGGGTGTTACACAGTGCCACTGCCCACTTTTGTAGTTTTTACACTAGTACCACTGACCTTTGTTCTAGGTTTACACTAGTACCATGACCACTTGTTCTAGGTGTTCCACTAGTACCACGGGACCACTTGTTCTAAGTTTACACTAGACCACGACCCTTGTTCTGGGTTTTAAACACTAGTACCAGACCACTTGTTCTGGGTGGTCATTCCACTGACCACTTTTCTGGGTTTTACACATACCAAAACGCCAAATTTTTCTAGGTGTTACCTATCCACTTTTTCTTTTTCGGGTGTTACACTATCCCAAATGGCACTTGTTCTAGGTGACACTAACCACGACCCTTGTTCTGGGTGTTACACTAGTACCAGACCACTTGTTCAGGGTTACACTTACCACTGACCCTTGTTCTAGGTGTTCCCTAGTACCACTACCTTGTTCTAGTGTTACACTGTACCACGACCACTTGTTCTAGGTGTTACACGTACCACTGACCATTTGTTCAGGTTTACACTAGTCCCACTGACCACTTTTTCAGGTGTTAAAACAGTGCCATCCCACTTTTCTGGGTTTTACACTGTCCCACTACCACTTGTTCTAGGTGTTACACTAGTACCACTGACCACTTGTTCTAGGTGTTACACTAGTGCCACTGACCACTTGTTCTAGGTGTTACACTAGTGCCACTCACCACTTGTTCTAGGTGTTACACTAGTGCCCTCACACTTTTTCTAGGTGTTAACTTACCACTGACCCCTTTTTTTCTAGGTGCTACCTAGGCCATGACCACTTGTTCTAGGTGTTACACTGTGCCCCTGACCCTTGTTGGGTTTTACATATCCCACTGACCACTTGTTCTAGGGGTTAAAATATCCACTGACCACTTGTTCTGGGTGTTACACTAGTCCACTGACCACTTGTTTGGGTGTTACACTATAAAAACTGACCACTTGTTCTGGGTTTTACACTAGTCCCCACTGCCCACTTTTTCTAGGTGTTACACAGTACCACAAACCCACTTGTTCTGGGGTTTTTCATTTTAAACCACTCACCACTTTCTAGTTTTTACACTGTCCCTGACCACTTGTTCTGGGTTTTTACATATCCCACTGACCACTTTTTCTGGGTTTTTTTACACTGTACCATGACCCTTGTTCTAGTGCTCCTAGTACCACGCCCACTTGTTTAGGTTTTTACACTAGTCCCACTGACCACTTTGTTCTAGTGTTAAAATATGCCACTGCCCCTTTGTTCTAGGTGCTAAAATAGTCCCACTGACCATTTTTCTAGGTGTTACCTATACCACTGACCACTTTGTTTAGGTTTTTCCTAGGCCACGACCACTTTTTTAGGGTTACACTATACCACTGACCACTTTTTCAGGGTTCACTAGACCACTGACCACTTGTTCTGGTGCAACTAGTCCACGACCACTTGTTTAGGTTTTACACTAGTCCCACTGACCACTTTTTCTGGGTGCACACTAGTGCCACTGACCACTTTTTTCTAGGTGCTACCTATGCCACTGACCATTTTTTCTAGGGTTCACTGTCCCACTGCCCCTTTGTTTAGGGGGTTTACACTAGTCCCATGACCACTTGTTCTGGGTGTTACACAGTACCACTGACCACTTTTCTAGGTGTTACACGGGCCACTGACCACTTTTTCAGGTGTTACACTAGTACCACGACCACTTTTTAGGTGCTACACTAGTCCACTGCCCAAATTTTTTAGGTTTTACACTATTTGCCACTGCCCACTTGTTCTAGGTGCTCCACTATGCCACGACCCTTGTTCTAGGTTTACCTAGGCCCTGACCACTTTTTTCTAGGGTTACACTAGTACACTGCCCACTTGTTTAGGTGCTACAATAGTCCCACTGACCATTGTTCAGGTGTTACACTAGTACCACTGACCACTTGTTCTAGGTTACACGACCATGCCACTTGTTGTGGGGTGCTACCTAGTACCACTGACCACTTGTTCTAGGTGTTAAAATAACCACTGACCACTTGTTCTAGGTGTTACACTAGTACCACTGACCACTTGTTCTAGGTGCTACACTAGTACCACTGACCACTTGTTCTAGGTGTTACACTAGTACCACTGACCACAGATGTTTGCTAGACAAATTTGGTAAGAAGACAATTTTGTTAACTGGAACTTTCTTTAAAGTTAATGTTTGTTGGTGATGATCTTTTGGTCAGTGATTTATAAAAAACTATCATGGAGCAAAATTTAAGTTTTCTCTGCTAGTAGTTTCTTCTTATCAGTCATTCTGCGGCTGTCTTTAGTGATGTCTCCAGACTACTGACCAGACAACTCTTGACTGAATGATGGTGAATGTTTCCTGCCGTGATGATAATAATCTTCTACAAGTAATTCTTGGCAAATTGCTGTTAAATGAATTATGGTGAATGTTTTTTATTGAATCACTTTACCTTGGTGAGAGATTCCTTCTTTTTTGTTTAAAAATCTGCTATCATCTCCCGTTAATGGTGACCCAAAGGATGAATGTGACTCTTGTAAATGGTCAAGGTTAGACTGAAACATCATCATAAGTTCTCTTTGTGCTGGTTATTTGTCTGTTGTTCCAGTCACGGTATTGTACCTGTTCATTCTTTAACGAAACGTGTTTATATATATATATATATTTTGCGTGTGTGCTTTTCAGGTATGGGAGAATGAAATTCGTAAAGCTCTGATGCCAGTAACACCACAGTCTAGTGCCACACCTACATACCCACAGCAGCAACTGGGTATGGACAAGGAGGAGGCCACCTGTAATGACATCTCTCAGATTTATCAAATATTTCCCGATGAAGTCCTGGGGTCGGGTCAGTTTGGTATTGTTTATGGAG